GCGCTGAGGGAATCGATTCCCTCAGCGCTGAAAGTCCCGCTGGGTAGCTAGCCAATGTCCAACATTCGTTGTGGAAATATGAAAAATAGAAATATTAAATAAACTTACAACAATAATAACTACAATAACTACAATAACTACAGCATTAGCAATAACAGATAAAAAAAACAGCAAATGTTTAAGAAAATAGCATAAGAACGGTAACACCATCGCAAATGTGGCATTCACATTCACACTATCTTTATTATAATGATCATTATCATACATCCTTATCACCAATGCAATCATAATCATCGTCAGCTCACCATCACCATCACCATCACCATCACCGTCACCGTCACCAAAATTGATCGTATTATGAAGTATGTGTAGTACCCCGTACTCTACGCTCCAACGCCAATAGCCACAAATTGCATTACTTTGGTTAGTAGCAGACGAAAAAAAAAACAAAAAAATTTATGAAGGCACAAGCAAAAAATAAAGCAAAATAATAAAAATGAAAATCTTCGCTGCACCGTGTGCATATGTTTTGTTATTGTTCGTCCCATCCCGTCTGTTCATATAATTTGAAAAACGACCAAACAACGATGCAACGTCGACGTCGACGTTGACGCCTATGATTTCGTTAGTCAAGCGTAAGCATTTATTCCAAGTTCAGACTTACATACTTTTGTATGTATGTATTTGTGTATATATAGAAACAACATTGGCTGCTCAGCCGATGTTATGTTTGTTACATTCGAATTACGTTTCGAATTATGTATGTGGACTATGGATTTCCTGAACTTGTACTTCAATCGCATAATTTCGCGTAGCATCAATTTGTGCCTTTGTGCAACAGGCTTTGTAATTTTTATGTGCTTTTTTTAATTGTTTTCTTTTTCCTTTGCTTGACTTTGCTTGACTTTCCTTGACTTTCCTTGACTTTGCTTGATTTTGCGACTTTGCTTGATTTTGCGACTTTGCTTACAAATTTTATTTTTGGGTGGGTTTCGCCGTTCTTCGTGTCTGATGTTACTCATTCTGTTCTGCTGTTAGTGCAAATGGTTGTTGTTGTTGCTGTTGTTGGTGCTCTTCAATGTGCATTTCCCTAATTTTGTTTTTATTTAATTTTGTTGTAATTTATTGATAAACACATAGTTTTCTTTTTTTTTGTTGAAAATGTGTGTAACTCTATCATAAATGAAATATGACTTTTGTTAAAGATTTATTCCAGTAACATAACAATCCAAGGAAAGATTTTATTAATAAATATTTAGACGTAAAATCGCCCAACAGCCGGTACTGCGGCCAGAAGAGTCCTATTGCACCAATTTCACTATTGATTACTGATGACAGAAATTCCATATGAAACAAGTTTCTTCTGTGCGTTATTAAAGCTGGACAATCACAAAAAATATGCATAGTAGTTTCCTCATCTTCGAGGCATAATCTGCATTCCGAATTAGCAGATTATTGTGGTTTATGAAGGTGATATTTCAGTCTATAATGACCTGTAAAGAAACCCGTTAGCAACCTTAAATTACATTCTGAGAATTTAAGGATGACTTTGTAGGAGTACAGTGTTATCAGCCCTTTGCTTTGCCTAATTCCTGGGAAGTCTTCCCGGTACTCCAGCCACATGTGATTTTCCCTTTCCCGCATGTAAAAGCAGATTTTGATGCAGTTTTGGCTAGCTCATCAACTTGTTGATTTCTCAAAACTCCCCTATGACCCGCAACCCAGTAAAGGCTAACCTTATTCCGAGTTACAAGTAGCTGCAGGAGCTCATAACACTCAAGGACCTGTTTTGACTTGAACTCCAATGAAAGATAAATAATTTATTAAATTTCTTTTATAATACAATATACTTTCTCTTATAATTATACAAATAGAGTTGATAGAGAAAAATGCGATTTTAACCTCGTTCTGACATGCAATAATATTGTTAAGGAATAATTTTTTTATTAATTAAATTAATATTCAATTTATAATTAATTAATATACATTTGTACATTAAAAAAAAAATTTTTTTTTAATTAAAAATTCTTTTACTTTCCACTACAGATACTCTCCGAGACGTTTATTATGATTATTTATTATAAAATAAATAACTATTATTAATTATTAATTTAACAATTTAATTCTATTATTTAATTACAAAGCTTATTTAAAGGACTTTGCGGCAGGCATGGGTAAGTAAACAGCTAATTGTGAGATTATTTGTTATAAATATCAATGACTTGATTTTATTGAACAACAACAAACCCATTGTTCTAAACAGTCATATTTCTGGACACACTTATGTCTAGTTCAGAAATTACAGTGTTAAGTGTACTTTGCCCAATCCAAAAGTCTAAGCAGGCAATTGCGAGATAAAGTTCTCTTTCGACAAACTAAAACCATACTCTAGAAGTCTCTTATCATGCCTCTCCTGCTCTAAGACACAGAACCTGGAACAATTACCAATTGAGATGCGTTCAAAATAAAAACTCTTCGGTGAAGTTATGGTCAGGTAAGCGTTTGCAAGGCGTATCGAATGTGATGAAACGTTGAGCTGTACGAGTTATATCATGATATTGACATAGTTAGGCATACACAAATTCATGGACCTCTCTGGCTTATGTTAGTCATGTCGTACGCATGGATGAAAATACTGTGACTAAAGAAGTGTTTGATTCGGCACCAGCTGGTAGAAAACATTGTAGATGACATCCACAACGCCGGTGTTCAATTAAGGTTCCAACTGACGACAATTAGCTAATTATTAGACTGTATGCAAAAGCCTACTGTATACGATCGCGAACGACTTAAGTCTGTAAAGACAAACTAAGTAAGAAATTTTGTAATTTTAAAAAAAATAGAAAAAACTCAATTTCATACGTTGCTTTCCAAGAACGTTCAGAGCATTCCAAGTCTGTGGGCTATCAAGAAACCCTGAAATCATCTAAAGTGAAGGTCAACGAAACAGCTGAATCCCTAAAAATATCAGAACATGAGAGCATGAACTTACTACACATTTTGATGGTGCGTAAGCTGTCCTCGAAAAAGATATCGCATTGTTTTATGGAAGACAGAAAACTAATTAGAGCTGTATTAGTGCAACAAAAATGTCTTTTAATGCGGTATGTGATAGTAGTTAACACATATATTCATTACTACATTCCAAAATCAAATCTACAGTCAGTTAAGTGGATAGCAAAAATCGTCCATTTCGAGGAAAACTCATATATCCACTGATAAGGTTTTATACATATAATATTTAGCACATCTATTACCTTAACAAAATAATTATTGCTATTTATGGTGAATTTGAATAAATGAATTCCGAAGTAAACAACTAAGGAACTACAGTTTGGAAGGCGTTCGCAGTCACCTTATTCTTCAAGGAAAGAAATTTGGCTCCAATGAAAAAGTAAATGTCTAAACCGAAGTCTATAATGACCCCAAAGAGCAATCAATCGAGTCCATATTATTGTTGCTACCACATAATTAGTTAACGTGTAAATTTTATATTACATCAATTAAAATAATAAAATAACGTTAGGTATCATATATAGATTCCATAATAGGAATCTCAACTGTCAGAAAGCATGTATTCAAAATGGGTAACCCTCATCACACTCACCGACACAACTGCAACTAAACACAGGAGAAGGAAACTATCTTACAATTCCTCTGTAAATGCTGGGCACTTTGAAAGAAAAAACAGTTACTCTAGGTAATCCGCTCTTTAATATTCTCGGATAGTCAATGGAACCTTTCGTTAATGATTATCAAACATTGTTGAAAGCTATTCCACAATCATTCTTGCTTGACCCTCTCAACAGAGAATCACTGGCACATTGAGGTGTGTTAGTATGTTTAGTATACCAAATTGAAATTATATAAGTTTATAAAGGATAGAATAGGAGTAGATTTGGCGTTATGTGAATATCTGGTCAATGGTGCAAAGATAAGGTTCAAAGTGCAATAGTTCTGTAATAGAAATGCTTGTTTTCAAATTATATTTCATTGAAACATAAAAATGTGTAGAACAAAAAACGTTAAAAAGTGCAACATAAAGTGCTTTGCTATCAGGTCTTTCCATTATCCGTCATCTATCCACATATGGCGTAATAAAACAATAATTTGAATCAGCAAACTCTACAAGAACTCATTGTCAAATTGTGGAACCATAATAATCGAAAGCCAGACGGATATATAGCCAGCCATGGGATGGACGGCCATGGGATATATTTTATTACACCACTAATATTGCGACAATTTCTGATAACTCCTAATATAGCTCAAGCAGCGAACAATTATACTCACTCATAAAATTGATTCAATGAAATAGTTTATGTCCTGGGAAAAGTTCAAATGTCGATAGAGCTAACCATAAATCATTGATGGCATCGCAAGAGATCTAGTTCCAAAAATATCTCTTCGTGCCTTCTGCGTGCAGTACAAAATGTCTCTTAATTTCACAATCAGAATCGAACTTAATCATCTTCGTATTCATCTACCAGAAGTAAAAATCAAGCCTCATTCGGCTGTCCAGCAAGCGCTTAGCTCACAAAGCACCGGCGTTGCGCGCACTTTCTTCTTCGATTCCGTAATGCTTCTTAAAAACTTCTGCACGTCCGCAGACGAGCTCAGTTGTAAACAAGAACGCGCGGCGTTAAGATCGTCTCTGGAGTGAGTGATAATAGCAAAGACAAAAGTAAAACGAAACAATCTACGGACAAAACCATAAAATATTAAAAACCAAAATACAAAAAAGTTAAAAAATTTAGAAAAAAGTTCTGTGTTGGGGGACAAAGTAAAAGTGCATCTCGAAGAAGAACAAAAAAAACTCTATTGCAAGAAGTGGGGAATCACACGAGGAAACAATGTAAAACTGTGTAAATTTATTTATTGTGTGAGTTGAAAATTTAAAAAATTTAAAAAATTTAAAAAAAAAAAACAAAAACAAAAAAGCAATAAATTGTAAAGTAAATTTAATTTACAAAAGCATAGACATAGAGCTAAACAAAAATAAATAAACTCTTAAATATCTGTTTGTGGAGTCGCAGACAGCGCCCGATCAGTTCTTATTTTAAGGCAAGTCGAGTCAAGTCAAGTAAAGTCGCTGCTACAACACCAGACAGACACAATTGGTAGAAAGAAAGGTGCTTAGAATATTTAACTTACACCCAAAGAAACTAAATAATCACAATGCGAAGTATTCTCTAAGGGAATGAAAAATTTAATTTAAGTTGCACGTTGTTCGTTGTACTCGTCTTTGCCCACATAGCCCACATAGCCTACATAGAACACATTCCCGCATTCCCACATTCCCATATTCCCACACTCCCACATTCCCGCATTACTACTGCAACTCCAATGACCGTAGTGAATGGCGTTGGTGGCTGCAATGACAGTGTTGGCTTTGGAAGAGTTGAGTTCGAGAGAATGGAGCCAAATTGGCTGTAAAATTGTTAGAAGCGTCTAAATATATTATTATTGCGCATATTATTATGTAGTGTATATTCGAGTATGTGCAAAGACGGAAGAATATTTATATACATTTAACATATTTCTGATTTGTGCACGGCTTAGGTCTCATTACTATTAGGAGGCTTTGCTTACTTCTGTGCTATGAAGGCTTCACCAGTTTTTTAATGGCAAATGTTGCCAGCATAGAAGTCTTTTTCATTTGTTATTGTTGTGGACTGTTAAATTGTGGAGCGAAGAAGAGCATTTCTATTCTAATGTCGATACAATTTGTACTTGTATCTAATCTAACTAATAATTATTTATAATTATTTTTTAACTCTTTTCTTACGCTTTATAGCCACAGCATGCTCCTCTGCTCCTCCGCTCACCAGCTCCTCCCTTCACCCGCTTTCCAACTCTACCCAGCTCCTGCATTATTCCTCGACACCGAATAATGCAATGAATGGCTTCGAGTAACTGCACCACAAATGCTTTTGATTAATTTCAGCTTTTAACTGAGAAATCTAAGGTTCTATCAATATAATTAAGAAGGCTTCTTAGGCCTTCATACTTACTTTACTTCACTGCATTGAAACAAACTTTTTTTTCGTTACTGATTTCGTGTAAAATTAATATTTGAAAACTTTTGAATTTAATTAATATATTGTATAATAATTAATGTTAATGAAATTATAAAATTTGAGAAAATTTCTAAAATTATTAATGTAATTTAAAATAAATATTTTTAGTTCGAAAGTAATTTTTTGTAAAAAAAGAAAAAATTGATATTTTTATTTTATTTTCTAATATTATATAAATCAAATACCTAAGAGTAGGTATTGATAAAATTATTACCAACGTGAATAATAATCGTGATATAGTGTCTGAAGGCAAAGTCTACACATGTAAGTGATTAGGTGTTACATTAAATATACTTATTGCCTTATGTCTTACTTATATCGTAATAAGTCTAAAAATTATAAAGATTTAAAACGAGTAAAGGATTATGAGGATTAACTATATTAAAGGCTATCTGTCGGCACCAGGACCTCCGTCTAAAGAGTATTTTGGCTTCTGCCAAAAGGTTAGGCACGACTGAACATTTCAGAATCATTTTTTATGCGGTATCACTACTGGTCAATAGGCGTAAGTAAATCCTTAAAATCGATTCACGGTTTACTTGTACTTTTGCGGTATCAGAAAATCGTTTATTAGGGGATCCTGTATTACTTGGTTGCAGATTCTTGAACGACAACTACAATTGTTATCTCATTTTAACAGTTTGATCACTTATAATCTTCGGTGGTCTAGGACCTCAACAAAAGTCTGATGATTTTGAAATATTTTATTTTTATTTGAGGATCCATAGCGTCCATATAAATTGTTTAGATTTCTTCTTTCATAGATTTCAGAATCAAATTTTTTTCAATAAGTTGGGTCTGCAAAATTCCATTTTTTATTAACTTTTTCTTTTTAAAAAAACTTGCGTTTGCTAGATATCCGTGAAAAGATGACAAGCCTTATTAAGGAAAAAAATTTTATATTTAAACTTTTAAATGTCGCTACCTTATAGAAAAAATTCGAACTTAAAACTTATTTGAGGCTGTTATTAATTAAACATTAATTTTTTCTTGTATGAACTTTTGATATAAATAATATTTTTTAATAGTTTTATTTTTTCATCAAGCACAAAAGTGTGGCAACTTTTACATGACGCTGAGACGTCATATGTCATACGTCGCATCGTCCTACACTGTAAATGCTTACAGCTTTAATTTTTGCTATTGAATATATAGAACCCACCATGCTTTCGAATCAAAGATATCAATAAAGCATCAGAACACACAAATTAAAAATTATACAAAAAATTCAAAATCCATTTTACAAAAAAAAAAAATATAAAATTTGAATTTGAATTTGCTGAATACGCTGAATTCGCTGAATTTGAAAACCTGAGTGAATTTTCACATGAAGCTGTCAAAGTGACACATGCAAAAGTAACGGCAGCATTTACGACGACGGTAACAACAACAACAATTCCAGCAACGATATGAATGCATTATTTCAGAATACAATGCAATAACAATAACAACAATAACAACAATCAAATGGTCCAAGATATGAAAGGTATAAAAAGTGGCATTGCAATTGAAACCGTTAACCTCGACAAAGGCCCACAAACATACTATTGGCTATGTTCTTACAGCAAACAAAACACGAAGTAAAACGAAATAAAGCAATAAAAAAAAATAAACAACAACAGAAAGGAAGAAGAAGAAGAAGAACTAAAAAAGCAATTTCGACTAGCAACTTAAAATGCAACAATAACAAAAACGCAAACAAAAATAAAAATTGAATGCAGAATAAAAATCGTAAGAAAAAAAACGAAAAATAAAAACAAAAAATAAGAAAGAGAATAAAGTTAAATAATAAAAGTTTGACTAGAAAGGAAATAAGGAAACATTTTTATATCAAAGCTTCTCTATTTAGTATGAGTGAGAGCGGCCGTAAAGTAACGCATCGACGATTTTAATGTGCTCACATGCTCGTGCTGGCACCAAAAACAACAACAACAACACACACAAAAAGCCTGCAGCAGCATTAAACAGTATTAAACAATAAGAACATTAAAAAACCATAACTTTAAAAACTAAAACACAAAAATAAAAAAAAAAAAAAAACAAAAACTAAAAGAAATGTTAATAGAGGCAAAAACAAAAACATAGCCAAAGACAACGACAACGACAAAAAAATTGGTTATGTTGTTTGGATCATGTGAGCGGCAAAAACAGGCTTAACTGTTGGAAATTTTCTTGACGGGGGCACGAAAACGAAATTTGAACAAAAACAAAGTGGAAAATGTGCTGTGATCGGCTGTGAAAGCCGATCGATCGGCTATTGTCTCTATTGAAATCGTTAAATTCAATTGAAAAGCTTCGAAAGGCACACTGAGCATAATTGAGATGATCGTTCATAAGCATAGAACGGAAGAAGAGAACGAGTCCGTTGTGAAGTGATTTATAAATGTAATGTTACCAGCTGGTACGAGGTGAAGTGACCGGTCACCTTACCTTAACAATAAGGCTATGGTTGTGGCCTAGTATTTTGATATTTGCACAATTAAAGCACTTCTGAGACGATAAAATATTAATTATCGAGTACGGAGTGTTTTGTATTCATTTCGAAAGATGATGCTGTTGCCAAAGGAATAAAAAACTTTGGGAGGGTAGCAATAATTTTCCTAGAATATATTTATATACCTATTTATGGTTATATATGTATTGCAACGATTAAGAGGGGGCGTGCTTAATCATTGTCAGTTAGCCAAGAATATCACAGATCTCCCGGATCGAACAATTTTTAATTGTTTAATTGACACATCCAAATAGTTTACTAGTCTTTAATCTGTTAAATATATTATGAATATATACTTGATGCTTAATAGGTTTTAAAACTTGAATAAGTTTAAAAATTATTATACACCGCTTCAAAGGATGATTGCAGAAAACAATGCGTATTGGACTCAAAATATACTTATATATTGATAATGTATTAGTATAAAGAAATACAATTTTATAAAAATTTTGAAAATAACAAGGTTTATCATAAAGACGATCAAAAATACTTCAAAAAATCCTCAAATAACAAAACAAAAAACAAAAAAGAATATATGTCAATTATTTATGCCATCAAAGTGAAAAATAGACTGTTCACTGGTTCGGAAGTCACTGGTTCGAGCTCTACTCTCCCCTTCTGACATTAGGAGGTAATCAACGACCGACATTCTGACTTTTATCCGGAAGGCGGAATGTCTTCTGTTCCTAAGAACTGTCGCAGCGCAAAAGATCAACCATGGTCGTAGTACTCCGCTCTGTTGGGAGCAGGAACCCTGTTTATTCCTATTTCTATGTATTACTTACAGTAACATACTACTAAAATAAAATTACATAACTTTGCTATCTTTAAACTATTTTATTAAGTATAATAGTCACTTCCGTCTGAAAAATTTGGCATTAAATTACAACTTATACTCACAAAATATTGGTCTCGCCCGTGCGAATCGTGGAGTAACATTCGCATGACTTTCTCAGTATTACGTTCATGGGTTAGGTTCTATACATAACAAATAATATATAAATCATGCAACAAATAATGTCTCTATGAACAGAATAGTATTGAAATTTAACAACTAAAAATAAAAATATAATTAATTCAATTATTTCATTCGTATTAATATAAACACAGCAAATGAAAACATAAAAGTCAAGTACCGCTTTGGTTCAGTTGGTTAAGGAGCGCTGACTGCTGACTCTGAGCTTCATATTTGGCAGGGCACGAGTTCGATTCCTGGTACTTGCAATCTCAAAAAATTATTTACGAATAATTAAATACAAGAATTATTTCCAAGACCATTGATGATGAGTATTTGGCAATACTTGAAACAGCTGTATGGTCAGCCAAAAATTCAATTAATTAAAATAATATAAAATGAATTTTTGCTATTGTAGTTCACTACTGTTCGAAAAGCCACTTTATTGTTGTTTTTATAAATAATCGTATAACTTTACGCATAAAACAAACACATTATTTTGTCAATATTTTTCGACCATCAACATAACATATGATATTCTATAGTTTTCTTTGTCTTGGAAAACGCTGTCCCAAATCCAATGTGACATTTATTAATATGTTG